AGTCATTATATTTACACACATACCTGGGGTGGTAGAAATTATTCCTTTTCTTCCCAATTTAGACTTGCTTCCTACATTAGTAGTTTTCTTTCCAGAAAGAGAATCCAGTAAAATTTTACCTGCGGTAAACATATGAAATAATCAACAAGATTCATAAACTCAAATTTTAAGTTGGTCAAACTAAGTTTTGCATATTTCCACCAAGCATCCCAGTTCATGTGTTCATTCAGCATTAAGTTAGATTATTTCACTCAAGCTGCTAAGTTAAAAGGTAAAGGATACAAAGGTATTTTTAAAATCAGTTTGTTATTATACAAGAAGTTTTTGCTTAATGACCCTAATTGGGACTGAAATTTCTATTACTAAACAAAACAGTCATTAGATGAAACTTCATGTGAAAACACCACTTGGCAACAATGGTTCCAACTGAGTCATTAGCCAAATATTTTACACGTTTCTGCCTTGGGAAGTGGCAGTAGCTGCCTCAGCTGGACACGTGTTGTCAGCAATGGGAGGAAAATAAAGGTCATCCGGAAGCAGTGGGGATAGGAAGCAGTGGCAATAGGTGAAGTTTTAAATGCAGGCAAGCTACCAAGCACCCAAATTTTTTATCATGGGACTATGGGGTGCAGCAATGGTCATAATTTTGAGGATTGATCAAAATGTTTGTTTTACTAAAATCATAATTTCAAATCACTGAACTAATGGTTAAATAAGGACTACTTGTAGTAGGTACTATCTGCTTGAAATATGGGTTATCTAGTCGGAGTTAAAACATACTACAAAATACTGCACATTTATAGTATCCAAGCTTCCATCACATTAAGTTTAGGGCTGGATTGTTAGACAGGACAACACAGAATACTGTTGCCCTCAGATTTTGTTCCCTTCAATCTACGTTCATATTCTGAAAGTTCTATGTGATTTTACAGATGACAAAAGTGAGTGGCTAAGATTAAATAAGTTGCCCACACACTTGTCCTAAATGGCAAAGCAAAACAAGTATTCCACTTATAAATGAAAATTACTTTCAACTCCTTTTTGGCTAGTAGAATTTCTTGCTTTTCGCTGACATGGAGTGACAAAGTCTTCTAGGTTTCCTGCTCTTCCACTTCTTGGTGATTCATCATTTTGGTTTATCTTCAGTATCTTTTCAAATCCTGCTTCCGGGCTCCCTTCACAATTTAGCATTATCGGAACCTAAAGTTCAAAAATATAGGTCAAATTGTCTCTTCCTTCCACTATAAATGCTTATTTAAATACAAATAGATCTATTGATGGTTCTTTAATCCAAGTGGAATTTTATATAAGCATAAAATGGTGAATGGGATCTTACATATATGCAGGCAGTGATAGCCCCTATTCCACATTTCGTTGCCTGAAATTCCCTCTTCCCATTTAATGATCCGGGACAGGTGTCCCTAAGCAATGCAGTCATGCTTTAAACACATTGTTTAGTGATGGCATTCCCAGGCCAAATTGCCATTATAACCTAAGGATTACCTGTATATTGAAATAAACTTGGGAAACCATATACTGGAGCACAACCTAAAATTGAAATGCTTTGTATCTTATAAATTTGGGAGCACAAAATAATTCCAGAAGAATTACTGGAAGTATATAATGGGGCTTCACCTCAATTTTATCAGACAGGCAATATATCTGGCAAGTTTGAAACACATAATACTAAATCACTCTTGTTCAGCCCGGCTTTAGTGAATAGATTACTAATGTAATAAAGCCAAAAAAGTTCATAAATTATTAAGAGATATATTTCTATTTTATACTCTTCTGCTAGCTCTTGATATTCACAATAAATCAACCTAACTTAAAAACTAAGAACTTTTATGCATCTTACAATTTCATATAAATAGTATCACCTCTTTCTCTGAATCCAGTTCCATTTTTTCTTTGTTAAGTTTTTCTTGTGTAGTTAGCTGGACATTATCTTTTTTCTGTTTTTTACGCCTTTTGGTGATTGTGGATGGAGTTATGAAAATTTGACTGCCATTCTGTTCCTCGATATTTGGGGATGGGAATGTCTTTTTGATACTCTACACAAACAGATATAGCCATTTTATTATCTTCATATTTATTTCAGCGACAAACCATAAGGTATTATTCAACAGCCAATAAGCTGTTTGTTCATACTAGTTCATGCCCCAAAAACTGTTAAGCTAAAGAAAAATCAGATGAACATACCAGTAACATATGAAATTACTTCTATCAGATCCATAGCCACAGAACTAAATGTGTTTTCATTATATGGAAAGAACAGGAGTTACTCTATTTTAAGATACCATTGATAGAGGATATAATGCTAATGAAATTGTCAAAATGTTGTGCCCTTACCGTATTTTCTTCACAGAAGTGCTTCTTTAATGCATTTAACAGCTTGGCTGCCTAAGAGAAAATCATTTGAGAGTAATTATCAAAAAGGGCTGTTTTAAATCAAGTTACCGCAGTTAGATGTAAAAACCTGTAACACTTTATGATATATTTGCCTCCACTTTAGCTGCCTCAAGGATGGGAACCTTGCCTTTCAGCAACCCTTTTAGGTGCTTCCTAGCTCAGCTTCCAGCATATCTTCTGATCACAACTCTCACAATTCTAGTTCTTGACTCTCACCAGTTGAAGGCACAGGATTTCTAATTCCAGCAGCATCTTTGACCTACAAAAAGTGTAGGGATCACAGATGGATCTGGCCTTGGGAAACTCTTTGAAAAAGCAAATCATATAAGCTAGGGAGACGACTACACATTTTAAAAATCCCATCTACCATCACACCCAGATTTCCATCAGTTATTATGATAAAGACAGAGGAAAGATTACATTAAATCAATGTTTTGCAAACTTGGCAAGGTTTAAGACGTGTGGATATTCTCCATGCTGGTTGGAGAATTCTGGGAATTGAAGTCCACATAACTTATCATTGCCAAGTTTGAAAAATACAGTACAGGTAAGTCCTCAACATGCTATGACAACTGAGCCCAAAATTTATGTAACTAAGTAAGAAATCTGTTCAGTGAGTTTTGCCATTTTATGACTTTTCTTGCCGTATTTGTTAAGTGATTCACTGCACTTGTTAAATTAGTAACAGTTGTTAAGTGAATCAGATTTTCCCATTGACTTTGCTGATCAGAAGGTTGCAAAAGGTGATCATATGACTTCAGCATCCTCATAAATGTGAGTCAGTTGCCAATGTAAGTCACATGACCATGGGGATGCTGCAATGGCAGTAAGTGTGAAAAATGGTCACAAGTCACCTTTTTCAGTGCTGCTGTAACTTTGAACGGTCACTATGTGAAATGTTGTAAGTCAAGGACTACCTGTACTAAATCAGACTAGTTCAGCCCTGGTTTAGTGAAGGGACTACTCCCATAATTAGATCCAAGCAGTCTACTGAAGACACAATCCTGCAATCCTGAAACTACAGCTGGGGGGGGGGGGAGGGAGGTGTCTGCAACCTTAAACACTCAAAGAGCCATTTAGACTGGTTTCCCACAGAAAAGACAACACCTGGGTGGGTGTGGACAACTTGACATCACTCCCATCCAGTCACATGACTCCCCCAGCCATGCCTACCCAGGTTTTGTGGCTGTTTGTTTTTCTGTAGGAAACTAGTCTCTCTCTCTGGGTCTCTCTTTCTCTCCATTTCTCTGTCTCATCTATCCCTTCATCCCTGAATCCTTCCATCTATCCCTCTCTTTTTCTATCCCTCCATCTCTGCATCCCTCCATTGATCTATCCCTCCATCTATCTATCCATCTCTGCATCCATCTACCTATCTACGCCTCCATCCCTCTCTTTCTACCCCTCCATCTCTGCATCCCTCCCTCCATTTATCTATCCCTGCATCCCTCTATCCATCTCTGCATCCATCTACCTATCTACCCCTCCATCCATCCCTCTCCCTTTCTACCCCTCCA